GTCTTTTTATTCTTCCTCATGCAATGCTTGCCCTTTGTTTTATTCTCTGCCCCTTATATTTGTCTGTCTTTCAGCAGAACATGGTAATCCCTTGGAGCATTCATGCCCACGCAGAGAGCACTTGGTTCTGCTGCAAATATCAGCTGTTAACATTGATGAAGTGACAGCTTTAATTATCTAATGCAACTTTGAAGTTGGTGCTGCGTTCAGTGGTGGAGTTGGACCAAATGACCTCCAGAGGTCCCTTCTCACCTGAAGTACTCTAGGATGCTATATTGGTTGTGGCATGTGGGGATTCACATTACTGAGCTTAGCTGCCTACAGTAAATGGAACAAGATAGATTCTCTGGAAAGGTGGTTCAGAGCATAAGCCTATTTAGATGCTAAAATAATAGCTTACAGGAGCAATTTATACATAGCCAAAGACGCTACCCTCCTAGTCAAGGTACCCATATATATATTCTTTAACAGGGTTAAATGCTGGATTGTCACTAAGAGACTTAAAAAGAGGCTGCTGGCTGTATCAAAATGAAGTGCAGTTATGTGGCATGTAGGAGAAAGTGCAGTGAAACTGGAAACAGTTTTTTGTTTAAAAATTAAAGATTAAATGAAAAGACTTATTTCTAAATTGTGAATTGACCTGTGATCAGGGTAACAGTGTAAATTAAAATGATGCATGTTCTAGGGGAGGGGAAAATTGGTGTTGCATAGCTTGGAACAACAAGCATTAAAAAAAAGGCGTATGAGAAGCTGGGTTTAAGTTCACTGTTAAATCAGATCTTAACTGTTCTAAAGATATAGGCATAATTATTCACTGAGGAGAGAGGGTGAGAAAAAATGGCAAAGCTCTGCACCCAAACAGAGCTCCTCAGCTGGCACGTGGGAGGTCTGAATTCAGGCCTTCTTCCTCTGATTTTTGTACAGATTACTACATTTTTCATAGGTGAAATGCTTTATAGCATGCTTTTGTTCACTTCTAGAAATGGCTCAAAGGCTAAGTGCTGTGTGCTAGGGTCATGCTGCAAATTCATGGGACAACCATGGGAAGGCTCACATGCCCCTAAATCTTGTATTTTGTCATCTTGTGGTTGTAAGTTTAAATCTGTGTCATTTTTGTCTTAAGTGATCTTAAAACCATTGTTGTATTTTAACAGTATTGATGTTTTTATGGTGGGCATTCTGAATATTTCATTTTTCCTACTTGAATATCTGTGTAATGTGCAGGTTAGAATACCTGTGTGTTTTTAGGCAAGTAAAACAACAAACAAGCCCACCTAAAAAAGCCCTCTTCAGCCACTCAGCCCATTTCCTGCCCTGGACAAATCATTGTTTCCATATTGGTTTCATATAAATAATTAATGATCAATATTTCAGTCAGGAAGTTTCAGCTGCTCTTCATTCCGAGTCAGCCATTCAGATTACTGTAGCACTTTGGATAGGGTCAGTATTGAATGGATGAACAATCAATGCTTTAGACTGATAGTTTTTCTTTCCTAATAACCACGCGTGGTGGAAAACATTTTTCCATCAGCACTTTCCCAGTGAATTGTAATCCAATAAGTTTATGTGAATGTCTGCTGCGGTGGAATTCTGAATATGTCAGAAATGCTTTTTTAAGTTGCAAATTTGCTCCTCTGGAATGTTTTATTGTCTCTCATTCACTTTTATGAGAGCTGCCAGAATTTTCATTGAACTTGTTGGAAAAAAAAGGCTGCAGTAATGTGGCCACAATTTCATTTCAGAAATTTCAAATTTCCCTTTGTCTCCCTCAGTAACAAGCACCAAAACAGCTGTGCTTATAAACCCACCGTTTTCATCTTTCCCTGCTTCTAAGCATTCTGTCTCCATTTCAACGAGCTCCCAGATATGTCCCCACGTTTGTTTCTGTAATTGCTCATCTGGAAGTACTTAACTTTAAATGCATGCTGGACAGGATTTTGCTTCAACATGATCTAAAACTTTCCTGTGTTAGTGAGTGTTGTGTGCCCCAGACACTTCTACAGAGACTGATGTGTGCTCGAGCAATTCCCTGCAATCAGGAAAAGGGAAAACAAGAAGACTGGTTGGGGTTGTTTAGGGTTTTCTTGATTTAAGTCTCATATTTTGCATGCTTCTTGATTGTATTAGTTCATTCATTTTGCCAAACAGACCACAAAGCTGTGAATATTTATTTAGTTCTGTTCCTAATAGTTTTTCTAATAGGGAATTATTTTGGTACAATGAAAGACATTTGTAAATGAAGCAGATAAGCCCTTTGGCAGACAAGGAGTGTTTTGTTCAACACAAGAATTCTATTGTCCACTGCTTTAGTTGTCAAGTGCTTGGGGAGCCCAGGATTTATGATGATGTTACAATGGCCCTTTCAGTGCAAAGTCTAAGAAGCTGTGAGATTCCGTTCCTCTGCTTTTCAGACTCTCAAATCTTTTTATCATGCAAGGACAATGCAGGATTCAGCTGCCTCGTAGGCCACAGGACTGCCCATTTAGCATCACGCATTGTGAAATAATTACCATAGTGACAATGGGTTTGGGTTTTTTTCCCTCCCTCACCAGCAACATTTCAGAAATTGTTCAAGATGTCACTTCGTATAAAACGACTCTGAAGACATGGCTTATTTTACCCAAAAAAATCTTGTTAGAAGATTCGATTTAAAATGTCACTGTGTCAAATCTATTTGGGGCATTAGAACTGTTTAACGGCTGTTTTTCTGAGGTTTTATTTTAATATTTATAACAAGACTTTGAAACAGTCTTCTGTAAATACAGCAGTTGTTTTGGCTTTTTTCCCTTTTTTAAAGATTATGGAGTCTGTATTACTGAAGTCGTGATCAAATATAGTAGGGAATAAGAAAAATAATGTACAGAAAAGGGGATGCTATCTGATGCCTGTGTATTAAAATTAATCAACTAAATTTTTCTTGTGCTATATTAATGATGGAAGTCATTCAGCAGTCTTCAATCCCAACTCTCTTGAAAACCGGTATCTGCAGGAGTTTCTCCATGCTTGATGATAGTATGAAGATTTATTTGCTTCAAATAATGATTAGTACTACAAAAAATATTGATTTATAACTTCCAATATCTGGTTAAATGCAACTTAACTTGAAAACGGAGCCTTTATTTGACAGTTCAGTTATTATGTATGTAGGCACTTCACTGTCTCATGCTCAGGTATACATACAGGAAAAAGCTTAATAATGCAGCAGGTCAGACTGAAGAGTAGTTGTATCTATTACCAACTACATGTGCTGCTTTTAAAAGCAAAAGCAGATCCTGAAAAAAAAAAAAAAAAAAAAAAGACTGTGGAGATATGTAGAAGGATATTTTGAGAAATACATATCTAAGCAACTTCAGTTATCGTCAGCAAGAAGAAGCCTTGAACTGTAAAGTCATTTGCAAAGATGTCATCTGTGAAGATAAGGAGCAAGTGATCAAAATAAGAAAGTTTATTCATCTGTAGTCTTTCACACAGATGAATTGTGAATCAGTTCAAAAGGTCCTTCGAGGAAAAAAAGATGAATTTGGTTCCAGAATTAACATATTTAAAATGCCATATGCTCTTCATAGGGAATTGCATAAATGTTATGTGTGTCAAGTATTTTAATAAAGCACGTGCTTTGTATATTGGCAGCTGTCATCACAAAGGACATTCCTTATTATTTGGAGCTTATCAGCAAAATTCACTGTCTTTGAATGTTTTTGCTTGTACATAGATCACAAATTTTTAAGACAGCGAATGAACATATCTGCAGTCACAACTGATAATAAAAGCCACGTGGTTTTATGTCTCTCTTTGGTGATTACGTGTGAAGGATGTTTAAGTGTAGTATTGCAGTATGTAATATCTAGCATTCAGAGAATGCCTGTTAATTTCTCTCGAACAACTCTGAACCAACTCTGCTGCTGAACTGTTCATCACCAATAACATCTGACTGCTTTAATGGGGGTGAAAGGAAGTGAAAAATTGAGCACTGATACAGAAGAGGTGGCATTAGCAGTTTAATACTGCAAAAAATTACTGACTTGGATGTACATAAAAGTATTTTTAAATGGTGAAAACCCAAACTGCAGAGGTTGTTTTGAAGTAATTCCTCATAATATTTATCACTGATGAAGGCTGAAAGCCCTGGGTAAGTGTATTTTTCTTCCTCTGCCCTTTGTACAGAATATCTCAATGCACTATCCCATTTAGGAAAGAATGCTGATCACTGAAACTGATGAACTTCTTACAGAGGCACCTCTTAATCAATTTCTTTTTCAAATCACTTATCCTATTCCCTACTGTAGTGCCAGTTTCACTTACTAAAATCTACTTCCTTCTCTCCTATAATGGTAAAAATACTAATTTTCTAATATGCCTTTAGAGCACTTTCAAGTGTTCAAAGCACATCATATTGACTGTTCATATCTGCAACTCTTCCTATTTTTTTCCCTGCAGCATGCCTTATATTGCAAATGTTCCCCAAACATTTTTTCCATATATACATTTTTTTCTCCTTTCCCTTTCCTTTACCTTTCCTTTCCTTTTTCTGTTCCTTTTCTTTTTTTCTCTCCTCTCCTCTCCTCTCCTCTCCTCTCCTCTCCTCTCCTCTC